CAGTAAAAAGAACCTACAAATAGTCTCCAGTGTCAGAGACATTTCACATCTTTTCACCAGTGACAGCCATACTTTCCTCTTACTGGAAACCACCTTCACTTTTGAGAAGGAAATCCTGATTGATCAGACAGATGCACGTTTTTCCCAAAACCAGGGCTTGACTCAGACATGTCCTGTTAAGAACAGGGCCAGCACTGCTGAGCAGTGATCACTCACAGTGAGAGGAGATGTGCCAAACCTCCCAGGTGTGCTCAGGAATGCACATTTCCTGGGACACAATGGAAATGCAGCACCTTTCCCATCACTAACCCTGAATGAGTTTCAGTAACTTCATGGTCATGTCTTTACCAATTACTTTCAACATTTGCAAAGTGTGTTTAAAACAATGGCACTTGTCCTTGCTGACTGTTGTTTACAGACTGACATCTGTCTGTCAGTCACCGTGTGATTTCCCAAGAATTCCATGGGAGAGAGATCTGCCAGGATCCTGGTGCACCACCATCTGTGGAAGGAGGCAGACCCTGAAGAGGACAGGGTTAGCCTGCAGTTCTCCTGAAGGAAACATGCCTGGGATGGAGCATTAGGCATGAAACAATGTGTATTTCCTACAGCCCCCACCCTGCCTATCCAGGCTCTAACACATTCCCAGGATCTGTCCCTGGCATTACAGAGAACCATTGGGGTGGCACGGCCTCAGCATGTGCAGTGTGATCTTTGGGTGAGCAGGGTGATCAAACCTTTCCTGCTCACCTGCACACTTGACATTCCAGGCTTTGGGAAGGGGCTCTCATTCACCACATCACTGCTTTCCCAACTATATCTGTTTCCTTCTTTTCTTTTACCTGAGCCTTGTCACGTCACCACTGGGGGGGAACAGCAGCGTGGGCACCCACTTCTCAATCCTGAAGGGCAGCAGCAACACTTCTGCTAAAAAAAGTGTTGGATTCTTCATCATTAGCACCAGTCACTGAGCACTGCTGATTCCTCTTGCAAAATTCTGGCCTGACTTTTAAATCACTGTTTCTCTTTGCTCAGAAGATGATCTAAGAGAGGAAGCAAGTTTCATGTTAACCACTTCTGCTTGTTTCCAAAATAAATGATCTTTAAATAAGTACTCTGGTGAAATTGTGCACTTTCATTTGGTAATAACCTGCTCATTTGACAAGGACTCATTCCTGTGTGCCAGTCTTCTGATGTGTAACACTGGTCTGAAGACACGTTGGCACTGGTGACATGCAAGAACTTCCTGAAGCCCTATCTTTCTGTGGAATGTGCACTCAAACTCCAACTAAATCTCTTCTCTTAGGAAAAGAGTTGGAGTTTAAAGGATAATTCAGAAAGGAGTAATCTTCACTGAGAAACCTCGAGCTTTCTAAATAACAGCCCTTGCCTAACCACTCTGTGTTTGTAAATCTCTTTGCCTTTATTCCAGCACTAATTAGAATACAAAATATGGCACAAAATCAATCTCTAATAGGATTCCTAATTCTTCACCTTTGCTTATGTCTGATCCAAAAGTTATGGTAAGCTCTCTCGAGATCACTGGGCTTTCAATTAATCCTTTGACTCATACTCCATCTTATTCACACAAACAATGCTAGGTTTGTGCATAAGATTGATCCTAAATGTCATTTTCCTCTCTGTCTTCTAGATGCTTAATATTTTAGGGATGAGAAGGAGAAGAAACACTTGGGTAAGGGACACTCCAAAAGTTATAAACCAAGTGTGCTCTGCAGGCTGCATTTCAGGTGCCCAGAGGCAAATCTGTGCCAGCATTGCTGGTGGGGTGCCCTGGGGCTGAGCACAGCCCTGGCAAGGCTGGAGGGCACAGCACTGCTGTGCCATGGGACAGGGGTCATACCCCAGGACAAGCAACGTGGGGAGAGCCTGGAGCCCCCTGAGCAGCCCTCCCAGTTACTCTGAGCCTGGTATTTGTCCTGATTATGTCAGGAAAAGAGCAAAAACACAATCACCTCTAATCCCAAAGCCCCTCTTACTCTAGCATGGCTCCTGTGCAATTGTTCTCAGCTTGAATACCACTTCCTCCCATTTTCACAGGCTGCAAAGCCCCTCTAAGCATCCCCCCAGAATAATTTAATTAATACACAGCTGGAGCAGAAATAGGTGGAATTACATGAATGGTCATTTGTTAGAGTTACTTTGCTGCAAGAACATTGTGCTTTGGAGTTTAAAGGAATCCAGACTTTTGCAGCAAGGATTTAATTTATAAGTAGTGATTTTCTTCACTTAACATCCCAAGGAAAACATCATGCTGATATGTGTTTCCTTTTAAGAAACAGAACCCTTTCATTTCTGAGAGTTTGATTTTGGGTGTTGTGACACTAACACCCCTCAGAAAGCAGCTGTGCTGAAGCTGAGGGGGCCCTCAGTCCCCCCAGCCTGAGTCAGTCAAGGTACCAGTAATTCAAGTGAGCAGAGCGGGAACACCTTGCACCCCTGGGCTCATCAAAGGTGGTCTGTGCAACAGACCTTTGGGATCAGGGAATGGAGTGATTGAAAATGGAGGTTGTTGCCAGTAACCAGGATAAAAGCTAATATCTGGGGTAAGGAAAAGGAACAAACAGCCAAGGGTGAAATACCAGCACGGGAAGTGCCTGTGAGCAGAAAGGTCCCGTTGCTGTGTGGTTATTAAACGTGCGTTTCCCCAGAGAAATAACTGCCTTGGATTAAGTGATTTGGAGGAATCAGTTGCTGGGTTACAGGTAGCAAGGAAAGGTGGGGTGAGGGCTGCAGAGGTAAAACAAGCCTTGCAGTGGTTTCCCTTCTCAGCCCCAGGGCCCGGGCAGCTGCCCTGGCCCCGTCGGTTATCGGAGGAAATGCAGAGTTCCCTGCTCCCAGCGAGTGGCAAGGGTGGGGCTTTCCTGTGCTTGCGGGCTGAGATAACTGGCATTTCTCCCCCCTTTCTTGATTGTTCTTCTGTGCCGTTTGCTATATAATCATTATTATCATCATAAATACAGATGTTATTCCGTTTCAGTCTGTGCTCTGGGTTTCTTCCTGTTCACCTCTGAGATATCTCTGTCTCTGTGGATGGTTCTTTTGCACATTCTCCCCTCCCTGACACCAGGGACTCCTCTGAGTGATTGTAAGCAGCCTCAGTTTGACAGACTGCACAGCCCCAGTCACACATTCCTCCTGGACTTGCACACTGGAATTTGCAGTTTTGAATAATTGAAGTAAACTGTATGTATTTCATATACAGCTGGAAGAGGAGATAAATCCTCTGAACTCTGTTTGCAGGCAGTCTTTGTTAGGAAGACATTTTCCATGCTAGAAATGTTTACAGCTCCTCCTGCAGAGATAATCAATGGAAGGCTGCAGTTGTCATGTGTCAGCATGTCCTACAACTCAGTCCACAAAGCTGCTGATGTTCTTTGGTTTCCTTTTTTTGGGTGTCTTGTGGCTAAAAGTTTGTCTTCTGGTTGGGGAAAAAAAAAGAAGTGAAAGGCCACATCTAGTGTACTGTGACCTTGTTGTCATCCTCCTGTTACTGTGCCAGGGTCTTCTGCAGAAGAGTCACCACTCAGGATGCACTCGGGGCACTGCCCCTGTCACCTCAGCAGTCACATCCTCAGCTGGCCATCCATGTGATTCCTGTAACCATTGCTTATCCTTCCTTCTGCTGCTTCTGCTTCGCATGGGGACTTCTCCATTCATGCTGCACTCACATCAGCCTCAAGATTTCCATCACAAACCTCTGCATGCCACAATACATGCTGTAGGTTACTGTGCAACACACAAAACCACTGATGTAGGGGCAGGAAATGTGTTATTTTCAAACTCTGCAGTCTCCTCTATGCTAGAAGGACACCTTGGGCTAATTGAAACTAAATCCACAAAAAGCCAAACCAATTCTAAAGTCAACGTGAACATAACTTTCAGTTTTGTCTGAAACATTTAAAGAGTAAAGTCAAGTTTGGAATCTTTATGGTGACATATTTAAATGGTATGCTTTGCTCTTGGCTCCAGTATCAGAAAAAACAGTTTCACACTTGGTGTAAGCTAAGAGCAATTATTCTTCCTGGACCAAACTGAGAATCTGTCTGCTGGCACTGACAGGTGACATGCAGATCCCATGTTCAAAGCTCTTCCATTTTCAGGGTGGTTCCTAAGCACTGTAAGTGAATATTTTATTCTGGAAGAGCAACATTAGAAATATGAGCAAACGTGTAGGCAAATGCCACAGTATTTTAGTTATCTATTTAAATCTCACTTAAGTAGAGAATATGAGACTAATTAGTTAAAAAATGTATTTTGAAGGTATTTTTTCTGTCAGAATTAGTGGGGCTTGTCTGTCTTCAAGTACAGATATCTGATAGTACCATGGTTGTGGGTTCAACCCCTGTATGGGCTATTCACTTAAGAGTTGGACTCGATGATCCTTGTGGGTCCCTTCCAACTCAGAATAATCTGTGAAATCTGTTTGGCCGTGCTTTTTTAATGTTGCCTGTCACAGTGTGCAGGAGAAAGCTGTGCAGGTCAGTCAGCACACTCAGTGTTCTGGGAAATGATCAATTAGACTCTGATAACCAGGACTTCCACCCTGCTGGGTGCCTGCGCTGGGGCAAGACCTCTCCGAAGGTCTGGCTGCGGACTTTTATCAGTAAATAGGAAATACACAGATAACGGCACCGAAAGGAATTCGAGCAGATGAACTCCGCGATGGGATGCCTGCAGCCCCACGCTGAACTGGGAGCGGGCAGCGCCGCTGCGAGCTCCTCCCGGAGCAGAGGGCAGGGGCGAGCAGAAGGACGCGTTCCCGGCTCCGGCGGGACCCCCGAGCAGGAGGGAGCCCCGCACTCCCCCCGGCCCTGCCCGTGCCCCGGGGCGGGCGGTGCTGCCCGGCAGGGCAGGGCCGGGGGCGGAGGGCGGGCGCCCCGCGGCCCCTCAAATAGCGCTGCCCGCGGCCGCGGCGCTCAGAGCCGGCTCGGCAGCGCCCGGGGAGCGCAGGGAACCCGCCCCGTCCCCGTCCTGCCCGGGGAGCGCAGCACACCCGCACCCGCCCCGTCCTGCCCGCGGACCCCCGGGACAGCGCCGGCAGCACCATGACTTCGGCGGCGCTGGAGATCCTGGGGCTGGGGCTGGGCATCCTGGGCTGGGTGGGGGTGATCCTGGCCTGCGGGCTGCCCATGTGGCAGGTGTCGGCCTTCATCGACGTGAACATCGTGGTGGCGCAGACCATCTGGGAAGGGCTGTGGATGAACTGCGTGGTGCAGAGCACGGGGCAGATGCAGTGCAAGGTGTACGACTCCATCCTGGCGCTGCCGCCCGAGGTGCAGGCGGGCCGGGCGCTCACCGTGGTCGTGGCGCTGCTGGGGCTGGTGGCGCTGATGGTGACCGTGGTGGGCGCGCAGTGCACCAACTGCATCCGGCCCGGCAAGATGAAATCCCGCATCGTGATCGCCGGCGGAGCCATCTACATCCTCTGCGGGGTCCTGGTGCTCGTCCCGCTCTGCTGGTTCGCCAACATCGTCATCAGCGACTTCTACGACCCCACGGTGCCGCCGTCCAAGAAGCGGGAGATGGGGGCCGCGCTCTACATCGGGTGGGCGGCCACGGCCCTGCTGCTCTTCGGGGGCTGCCTCATCTGCTGCTGCTCCTGCTCCCAGCGCGACGAGACCTCCTTCCCCGTCAAGTACTCGGCGCCGCGGCGGCCCACGTCCAACGGCGAGTACGACAAGAAGAACTACGTCTGAGCGGGGCCGGCCCGCTCTCGGCCCCGCGGGGACACGGACACGCGGCCGCGGGCCGGGAGCGACAGCGCTGCCCTGCCCGGAGGCTCTTCCGAACGGGCACCCGGTGAAGCGGCGGCCCCGGGCAGGGCAGCGCCCGGCGGGTCCGGCTGCGGGCAGCGCGGCCCCGGCCGGGGGCACCGAGCACCGGGGGCAGCACCGGGACATCCCGCGGGGCAGCACCGGGACATCCCGCCCGGCTCCGCTCCCGGCCGCGCCCCGGCGATGCCCCGACACTCGTGAGTACTTGGCCGCCCGCTGTCGCTGCCGCTGCCTCTCAGCTGCTCTCGGCCGCTGGGACCGGCGTCGGGTGTGCGCTGTCGCCCAGGAGCAGATTCCCATCCGCGGTCTCCCTCCTGAAAGCTGCGTCTGGCGGCTCCCGCTGCGGCTTTAACTGAGTAGGGGGGTTTGATCTTCTGTTCGGGCAACTAAACTAGGGATCCTGTCCAAAGCATGCCACTAACCTTGATCCTTAATCCCGCTGGCTGTTTGGAGAAAGGGATTTGACTTTCTTCATTTGTTTCAGTCCCACAGTGCGTTGGTCTGTGTGCCTTTGAGACCTTGAAAGAGATTTCAGGTGGTTGCTGTCCTTTAGTGGAGTACAAACCAGATTACACCAGGTTGCCCCTTGAGGTTCTTCATCCCCTCTCCTCCATCAGCTTATGCTCTGTTTTTACTTGAATATGAACTCATTGCCAGAATTATCCAAGGCCTAGGTTCAGAGATCTGGGAGATCACTGTATGTCCTGGCTCCAGCAGGGCCTCTGCTCCTCTCATCTGGACTACAGGAGACTGGAAGCATAAAAATTGCCCCAGATACTGATGGCTGGGGGGGTGATGCTCTTGTGGCCTTCTTGCCAAGCCCCGCTCGCTGCCAATTTTGAGTTGTGTGCTCAGTTGGACGTGCACTTGGTTGGCTCCCCACCATGATTTTGTTAACACGTGCTTTCCTCCATCTACCAAATCAAGCAAAAAATTGCTAGAAGAATTTTACCAAAAATATCTTGACTGAGACTTTCTGTCAGCTGATCAGGAGATGTGAAGTCCTGGCTCTCACAGCTCTCAGCTCCTGTGCATTGCCTGGTAACACACTGCAGACTGGAAGGAAGATACATCAGCCAACATAACTCTCATTTTCTGAGCTCAACACCTGCAGAAATTTTGCCACAGCCTGGAATACCAGCTTACACTTCTCCATTTTACACTGCAGAGACAAAGGTTTTTTCAAGGGAGGGGTCAGGGGGAGGTGTGATGCTCCTCCACACAAGTCACTTGTAAATCAGCCCAGGATCCTGCTCCTGCCCTGGCAGCGCCTGCTTTGCCATAAGGAGATTTCTGCCAAGAGCCTGTGAGGAAATGTGCTGTTTATGTTCCTCTGAACACAACACTACAACCTCGTGGGTCCCTCACAGTGCTGTAGCAGTGCAGTGCACACCTGACCTGAGCATTAACACTTCTCTTCCTGACATCTCCAAGACTTGTGGACTAACCATGACTGTGGGTCTGGGACAGATTGACAGGGACTGTGTTCCTGCCTTGCTTAACAAACCCCAGGGGTATCAACATGTTCACAGACCAGAATGAGAGACTAAAGCCTTGCCCCTGCAAATCGTGATGTTGAATACTGAGCACGTGATTTACCCTTTTAAAGATAACTGCTTTCAGTTTTTAAACACATAAGTAGCAGGGTTTGAGCCCATCAGAGAACACAAAAGCAGAGCAATATGTCTACAATTAGTTTTTTTCTATAAAGAGGTGCAGTTCTTATACTGTCTGCATTTAAATAAAAGCTGTAATATTTTTGTTATGATGTGATATGTAGTTTTGGTACAAGAATGAAATATTCCATATTTCATCATTGCAACTTTTAAACAGTGTAACCTTGTAAAAATGTATTTAAATGCATATATTTTGCAAGAAATCTACCAAAGTTGGCTTGCTATGTGGTTTGGTGCCTTTATTTGTTTCATGATTATTTTTTACTTTAATTGATAACGTCCAACTGTATTTGTCACCCAGCCCATAGACACACTGCCCCTTCACTCAGAGCTCTCTGCTGTCCAACAGAGATCAGCCCAAACCCTGGACCTCACTCTTTGGTCTCCAGCTAAAGAACTAACCCCCCTGACAGATATGTCTGCATGTCTCTGTAGAGTGGAGCCTTCAGAAGTGCTGCAGAATTTGGGGTCTGTCTAAAAGATTAGACCTTTCTGGACAGTGCTGCACTAGAATTTCAAATCAAATCAAAACTGGAGTCTTTGGTAGAGGGAGGGAAACCCACACCTTAGAAGGGAATTTTCTTCAACAAGCCAAACTTCTTGATACATTTCTTTGTGTCATGGCAGGGCTGGATCCTCTTGTAACCAAAATCTGAACCAATTACACCACAAGAGCTCTTGGAAGAAGCCAGTGCTACCTGTGCATGTGCTGCCAGACCCAGCATCATCCTGCCAGGATAACTGCTGCTGGTGAACAGGGTTTTGCTGAGGTCAGTGGGGCAGCCCCAGCAGTACTGCAGGAAGTGGGGCCCGTTTTGGAAAATGTTTTTCTGTTTAATCTCACCCCTCTTAGTTGTCGCTGTGCTTTACAAGATAACCCAGATGTCACTGTTACTGATAGCACTGGCTCCGGGTAAAAGTCAGCTGGTTTTCCCTACAATTTGTTTTCTAAGAGCAAAGACCTGGACCTGAACTTAAAAGCTTGGAACTGCTCAGGCCTGAACCTCACCCCGATGAAAAGTCTATAGCACTTGTTTACTATTTTTGTTTTGTATTTATGTTTCTCATAAAAATAAACCTGTGTAAACCAATCCCTGAGCAGGGGTGCTGTTTTTTCGGGGAAGACACTGGATTGTTTGGGCTCGGGGAGATGGGTGTGGCATTGGTGCCCAAAGGGCAACCTTTCCCTGGGCAACCTTTGAGGGCAGAGCTGGGCACCCCTGGGGGAGAAGGAAGGGCTGCTCCCTGCAGAGCAGGCAGCACCTCAGCTCTCCACTGAACCCCAGGCAAAAGAGAGCAAGGAGCAGCAGCTGGTCTTGTGATGTGAGCACATTAGGAAGTGGAGTGTGAGCCCCAGCTATTTTCAGAACAGCTCTAAGCTTGAAGCTTTTTAAGCTTTCAATTCCTACGCGTTTAAACTAAAAGGAAAAAAAAATCCTGCTGCTGCTTGGATCAGCCTCAACCTGACCAATACCCTAATCCTTTCTGCCAACCGTTTATTTTTTTTTGAAAAGTGTATTCAAGCTGGGGAAAAACATTTTCACAGATGCAGCAGAACAGAACCTGCAAAAATAATGACTGGTAAAGGAAACTGTCCAGGCTAATTGCTGGTGGAGAAGTTTGCCCAAGTCACATGACTGCCAGGGAGGACTTTCAATATTTTGCAGATTAATTTTTTTGCAAGATTTTCAAGCTTTTCTAACAAACTGTAGCTTTAAAAATGAAGAAAAAACGTCTTCAAAGCCTTCACTTTGCAGCATTCTTGCCAGCTGGGTTGAGATTAACAAAAGCTCCTTGCCACCCTCCCATTGCTGTGCACATGCTGAGCTGGAGAAAGGGTGTCTGTCGGCTTGGCCTTTGTCCTGCTAAACCAACCATTTCAGAGTTATGGATTTGAAAATAACCTGCAGTTCATACCCTGCAGATCTGGTTAGATCCTGTCTGTGCAAAGAAGGGAAATGCAGCAGGCAGGGGGAAAAGGAAGCTCAATCAGTCACGTTTGCTGCAGGATGTTTAAGGAAATGTTTCCTTTTCCTGCACAAAGATGTTTGTTGGGCATCTGCTCTTTAGGACACACTGCAACATTTTACCCTTGAAGTGAGAGAGCAGTGTAACTCCAGATTTTTATTTAACATTTATCCTCTGATCAAATATTATGCAAGGAATGTGTCCTTTTTCCTTGGCCACCTTTCAAACCCCAAATGCAGGTCTCGTGCAGCTGAGACTGATTCATACATCTGTAATGCTAAAAGAGAATCCTGCCTCTCAGGAGCCATTTGCCACATGCAAGTGCCATATTCATGCATATATTCAGCAATATAGATTAATGCAGTGTTCAGCATCAGATGTACCCACAATGCATCCCCTTTTGTGTATGTGCTGAAGAAGAAAATCATTAAGTACCCGTGTTTGCTTTTATAAGTCTGCTTGGTAAGACACAGCAAATATTCCTGCTGTATGAGATTAACTGGGAGAGAGCAGACAGAATTCAGGACAAATACTGCCTTTGTTATCTGTAGCCTGATTGTGGTAGGACAAATCAGTCCAAAAGCAGAGCCTCAAGAGGGTCTCATATTTATATTTTGGAAATAACTGAGTTCTGTCACTCCTGTTTAGCTCAGCCCTTTGTGTGTCTGTGCCTGTGACTGCTCCAGACTGTTCCTTGCTGACTCTCTGCAGGAACAGGCTCTCTGTCCAGAAAACCCCTTCTTCCCCCTGCAACTTTCAGTTATAAGAAAAGGACAATTTCCACCACTGATAAAACCTCCCATGGCAACAGCAGGGGCTCTGCAGTTGCTTGGATACACCAGCCTTGCTTCACCTTTTTCTTTCCTTAGGCACAGATTGAGACATCATGAATCAATTGAAGTGTCCTTTGTCTGGGGCATTTGGGGATTTTGTTCACAGCCCCGAGCTTCCCCCTCCTGCCAAAGCTCCCCTTGTAGCTTCAAGCCACAGTCTGGCAGGGAGAGGTGGGGAGTAGCAGGACTCAACATGGAAGCACAGTGTGGTGCTGAGGGCATCTGCCCTCTCATGCACTGCCCTGAGGCAGAGCTCTGCCTGCACTTTGGGTGCTGCTCACCCTGTTTAAACAAGCTCGGGATGATGGGGGAGCACATCACACAAACTTCACCACTTATAATGTGAAAATATCAGCATCACAGTCTGGTTTAAGAGTTACATAAAAAAATGAATATATGAATGAGCTTGGACGTTAAACATCCTGAGTTAACTGATACATTTACTGAACTACTGCCTTTAGCTACTTGATTTGAGAACAATGGGATCATACAGCATGGGGAACTACCTACAGCACTAATTAAAGCAAAGAACAGGCTTTGAAACCACTACCTAGCTGTTTTGGTTTCAGTTTACAAAAGGACAAAAATTAAAAACACACCTCACTCCACAACCTACAGCCTTTACAACAAGGC